GGAGGTTTGAATCTACCGAGGGAGAAAAATGTGGCAGGTTGCTTCCATAAAGATTATAGCCTTGTAGTCTGGGGTCTTAAAAGCTAGCGAGTGGCCATCTAAGGTGCATCAATTGGTCCCAACCCACCTGGAGTAAAGGAGAATGAAGAACACTGTAGACATAAGGAAAGTATTCGCCCAAGAGACAGAAAGGACCACATAAACCAGAGACTTCATCAGCCTGAGACCAGAAGAACCAGATGGTGCCTGGCTACTACCAATGACTGCCCTGACAGGGAACACAACAGACAGTCCTTGATGGAACAGGAGAAAAGTGGGATGCAGAACTCAAATTCTAGTAAAAAGACCAGACTTAATGGTTTGACTGAGAATGGAGGGAGCCCGGAAGACATGGCCCCCAGACTGTTAGCCCAAAACTAAAACTATCCCCAAGGTCAACTCTTCAGACAAAGATTAGACTGGACTATGGGACATAAAATGATACTCGTGAAGAGTATGCTTCTTAGCTCAGGTAGATACATGAGACTAAATGGGCAGCTTCTGTCTGGAGGTGAGAGGAGAAGGCAGAGAGGGTCAGGAGCTGGTTGAATGGACACGGGAAATCCGGGGTGGAAAGGAGGAGTGTGCTGTCACAGCATAGGGCGAGCAACTAGGGTCACATAACAATGTATGTATAAATTTTTGTATGAGAGACTAACTTGAATTGTAAACTTTCACTTAAAGGACAATAAAATAAAAAAGATCATAGCCTTGTAAACCCTATGCGGTGGTTCTACTCTGTCCTATGGGGGTCACTATGAGTCGGAATAGACTCCAAGGCAGTAGGTTAGGAAACTTAAGATATTGACCTTGCCATCTTAGTCTCTAAGCAACACGACCAGGACTATGCCCCATCCTCCTAGATCTCCATTTAATTGTTTGATTTTAGCGTTGGCCTCAGAGAAGCTTAAAAAAATAAACTGGTGAGAAGTGGCAGAGCCTCATACCTCCAGACTGACCTCAGCTACCTGTGCTTCCTATTACCTCTGTCAGGCAGAGGGCACACATAAATCTGATGGATCCACTGGTCCCATTTACCTGGCTCTTTCTGAATATCCCCATTTCTAGTTCTTGCACTCACTTTGACCTGGGGGAGAAAATGGTGCTTTGCAAGTTGGCAGAGCTCTTTGCAACTAATTTAATCACTTACTGTGATCAAAGGAAGACAAAATGTCTCCTCATAATAAATCTGTGCTTCCATTCGGGTGTTTCCTTTATGCTGAAACTCGTTCCTCCTTTGTAGCAGATTTATAAAGGCTCCAAGAAAGGACCAACACACTTCCAGATGTGGTTGGCCTATACAAGAATTGCTCATCATCAATACTATTGGCATTTGGGGCCGGATAATCCTTTGTTGCGGGGGACTGTTCTACGCATTGTAGTACATTTAGTAGCATCCCTGTCCTCTACCCACTAGATGCCAGTAGCATCCACTCCCTCAATTGTGACAAAAATGCCCTAAACATTTCCAAATATACCTTGTGGGGCAAAACCACCCACGGTTGAGAGCAATTAGTCTATACAGATACATTCACTCATCCTCTGAAAGGAAGACATGATTAAAAATTAGAAGTGGGCGAGTATGACTGAAGCTGGGACCTAAGTGGGAGATTGAGGGAGGATAGGGACAAACCATAGATTAAAACAAACCATTTACGAAGTTTTGAATACTGACCTAAGGAATTTGGATTTTGTTTTACAGACAACAGAGTCATTAAAGGGTTTTCAGAAAGGGAGTGATATGATTAGATTTTCATTTTAAGTTTCTTGATCTCAGAATGAGAAAGGATAGAAAGGACAATAGCTGTCACAAAACTCTGGGATGGTCACTACATGAAGTAAAGCAGGGGACGTGCAAAGGAGGTGGTAGATCTGCTATATTCATGAGTAGGAATCATCACAGAGTGTTTATAAGTGTGCAGGATAGAGAGGAGCTGAAGGTTCTCATGAAGTTCCTGGCTTGGATAAGGGGATAGGTGGCAGTGAAAATGGGGTAATGTACACCTGTAGGTAAGGATAATAAATTCCGTTTTGTGCATGTGGCACCTAGATGTAGCTTAAATGGACAAATAATTCTGCCACCTAGTGGCAGTGTGTAAAGTCAGAAAAAGGACAAGATTGGATCCCTAGGGGACTGCTTATCTTTAAAAGGTGGGCAAAAGAAGAGGGAACTCAAAAGCAATAGTTAACAGGTCAGGAACACCAGGAGAAAATGGTGCCCTAGGAGTCAAGAGGGCATCCTCAAGCTGTGAAAGCTGTCAACAGGGTACCATGCCGGAAAGGATAAAGCCAAAGAAGCCAGTTATTGGTAATAAACTTAGCTCAAGGAGCTTGGTGGAAGCAGAAGCCAATTGCTATGGTGAAGAATAAGTGGAAGAAATAAGAGACGAAATGGGGACAGTGTCATGAACTGGGGCTAGTCTTTCAGGACAACTCTCACTTTCCTGGGCAACAGCATCCAGCCCCATCTGTAGGTCAAGCTGGCATCAAAGATGGATCATGCCCACCTCTTGTATGTATTCTGATTTTCAGTTCCCATGTTTACATCATCATTTATTGCTTCTCTCAGGAATGTTTTTTACTTTTTCAGAATATTTTCACTTTGTACACCCCACCTTTTTTAAAAATCTCATTTGCCAGCAGTTACCAGTATATACCGCATTTTTTCATTTATAGTGTCAAAGTGGATCGATGTATTCCCTCCTTTGTTTTCCCTTCACACGAGCACATACTTTTCAAAGGGGCATCAGGGAATCTGATCTGCCACCCCAGGACAGTAAAATTTCAGGGGTGTTTTATCTCCATTTTCATGAGAATCCCATAAGCCTCCCAGGAAATAAAAAGTGTTATTTTGGGTCTGGTGGTTAGAGCTCATACATTTAGAATTAATATTCTCTCAAACAGTAGAAGGCAGAGTCAAAAGCCTACCTCAGCCTCTCCACAGGGTGCTCCTAGTGGGCAGGAAACTTACCCAAGGAAGAAGAAACCTATGGTCCAGGACACTATCTGAGACACCAGTTGATTGCTTGATAGGAAAATTTACTTTTTAGTTTCTTCTCTCACACCAATTATTTTTCATTTCTTTTTATTATCAACAGATTATAAGTGTTTATTCCTTAATATGTCATTTGAAACCCAACAAATAACTTTTCACCAAGTTTAGTGGGTACAATATAGTGGAAGTCAGAAGGTATTGGGTCTTAAACGTCATTCATGCTAAACACACTTTAGTCCAGCCTGGACTAGGAATGATGGAAATGAGTGTGGGGACTGACAGATGCAGTTGCTTAGTGCCAACACCTATATTTTTGCACCAGACAACAACAGCCCTTCTTCAGAAAAAAAAAAAAGAGAGAGAAAAATGGTCAACACTATTTCTTTTTGCATGTTTTCTCTTGGTAAAATAGGAAGCAACTTTTCAATCTATAACTTTTATCTCAGTCACTGGGCAGAGAGATGACTTTCAGCTTAATAGAATCTATCTCTAGGTCTGGACTCTGTCCTTCTCAACAATTACTGGAGTATTGTTCAATAAAACAAAGTGTCTAGCAGATCTGAATCGAGCACCTGGTTATTTCACAATGAATCTGACTTAAAATACAGGTGACATGGCAAATACAAAATTCACTTAAATATGGTAGGGGAGCCTGTAAGTCATCTCAAAGAGATAGAAGTTATCCTCTACAGAATCTAGAACTGAGAATCTATTTTCATCAAGTTTGGAGGGTATGTTACAGTATGACTTAAAACATCAGTCAGGTGGTATTCATAAAATTAACTTTAGGACATGAAAGGCATCTATTTAGACACTCAACCTTCAAGCAGCTGAGATGAGATACAAATGAGGAGCTCGTGTGACTACCAAGCAAGAGAAAAATGCTATGTTACGGTGCTGTATGAGCAAAGTGTTTTCAAATTCAAGCCTGTATCAGCTATGACTAGTTAAGTTGCAAATGACAGAACACCCAAATCTGACTAGCTTAACAGAAGATATTTATTTGCTCACATAGCTGAAAAGTCCAGAGGTAGGTTTACTTCAAGTAAGGCTTGGTCTAGTGGCTCAAATGATGTTGCCAAGGACCCAGTTTCTTTCTGCTTTGCCACTGTCTTCTTTGGTATTGGTTTCATCTTTTGGCTCCGGATGGCAGCACCTAGAAGCTCCAGATTTTCCCCTTTTTAATAGAAAACAGTTGCTACAGTTCTAGGCCTCAGATCTTCCTACATACCAAGGAGAGGACAGAGAGTATCTCCTTTGGTGGCTCTCATAGAAGAAAAGCCTCTCTCTTCCAGAAGGTCCAGTAAATATCTTCTCACAGTTCTCTGGCTCTGTGGCCAAGGGGATGGGATAAATTGACTGACCTAAGCCAAACAGGGTCCACTCATAAACTTGGGGGGAGCCAAACCACGTGGCTGAGAAAGGATACTTTCTCAAAGAATATTTGGGTCACTGTTCCCAAAGGGAAGAGGAATGGATGCTGAAAACCAAATAAGAGATGACCATTGCAGAGTCTCAAACTCAAAAAGACAGATGCTCAGAATTACAGACAATGATGTGCAACTGAGCTGCTTCTAAAATAAGTAACTCTGTATCTGACATAGGGTTGCAAAATAGCAGGGATTTAATTATTCATTTCCCAGTTCAGGGTAGGCCACCTAAATTTCAGTAGGTGAATGACTTTACACACTATTTTCACATTTCCTCACTTTGCAATTTTGAAAATCTTCCAAGACAAAATTTTACCATGCCCAATTACTGATTTTGATGTATTCTGTTCCTTGTAATTTATCAGAGAATATCTTAAATTTCCACCTTTTATGTTTGTCCTGAATTTAGGACCTGAGTTAGTACTTTTATTCCTCTTCTGAGTTTTACAAGTCTAGGAAGTGTCACTACAAATGGGAAAGTCTTCCATGTCAAAATTCCATTATTTTTTTGTCCCTGTGTTCATGTGTTTAATGCATTTCTTTTGATCTTTTTTTTTTTTTTTTTTCCGAGCGACATTGACTTGAACACTAAATGAGAGAGCCTGATGGATCTCTGAATTGAGACTGAGGAGTTTCTGTGGCAGGCCAAGCAGTCACTTCTCTTTACAGCTGCTCCTACTTTCGTGAATACAGGCAGTCCCCGGGTTACAAGTCGGATCCATTCCTAATCTGTCTTTAAGTCGAATTTGTAGGTAAGTTAGAACAGGTACATATGGTTCTTACTTAGCGTCAGTAAGTAAAATGTCTTAGTATGTAGTATGTATTTTACCTTTCTATGTATATAAAACACTTAACATTTCCAAACCACACATTTTCATGAGTGTCACAAATAGTGTGTGCGTTCATTATGAACCACTGTATTTAACTCCGATTTTTAACATAATAGGACTTATGGCAGTCTGTTCTTAAGTACGAGTTGTCTGTAAGTTAGTTTGTAACCCAGGGACTGCCTTATGTGACACTACAGAGTCTGCGATGTGGGCTCAGGGCTTCCAAATGCCTATCTCTGGGCCTCTGGTAAGAAAACGACAAGTTAGAAATTCTCTTGGTAGGGGATCCATTTCCACATTCTATTTCCTAAACCTTCTAGAATACCTATCTGTTGCCATATTTTGATAATTCTCTCATTGTGATAATCTTAAAAATCTTCCCTACCCACACACATTTCCATCTTTGAGGGAGTTTCTGGGGTTGATCAACTTCAATAATGCGCCTCTAGAAGTCCAAACTGTCCCTTCTGTTTCATGTTCGCTCATACTCGTATTCTCTCTCTGCTTCTTTCCCATTTTAAGATACTGACCTCTTCCAGCATATACATCATTGCCACTCTGGGAGCTTGTGAGTATTTAGGGTTTTAATGATCACCACCTTTCAGCCATGGTCTAACCTTCAACCCTATATTTCAACTGCTTCCTGCATAATGTGTACACTGGTAATGTTGCCAACCCCTCACTGGCTGCTCTTTCTCAGCATCTCTTGCTGGCTCCTCCCCCTAAGTCCAACTCCCTAAATACCAAATTGGTATTTCATAGGACTCCATCCTGGGCTCTCTTATCTTGCTATACTCTCTCTAGGGCAGCAATGTCCAACAGTACTTTCTGCAATGATGAAAACATACAATATCTACGCTATCCAATATGGTGGCCAACTGCCATATATGATTACTGAGCACTTGAAATGTGGCCAATGTGACTGAGGAACTAAAATTTTATTTAATTTTAATTTAAATAGCCACATGTGGCTGGTGGCTGTTGTACTGAATAACATAGCTCTAGAGATTTCTTTCATTCCTTCCCATGTCTTTACACCTCTTCTGCTTATTTGATGACTCCCAAATGTACAGCTCCAGCCCTGTATACTACTTGAAAGTTTCACCTGCACATCTTATACAAATTTCAAATACGTTAATCCAAAACAGAGTTCTAGATTTCTTCCTCCCCAAACCTATTCCTTTTCCAGTCTTACCCATTCCAGTAAATGGCACCACTACCCACTCAGCTGCTAAAGCCAGAAATCAGAAAGTCATCCTTGATTCCTCCCTACCCATTACCCCTTGTATCCAATCATTAGCAGGTCTAATGATTCTATTTCCAAAATATCTCTTAAATCTATCTACTTCTCTCCATCTTCATTAATACTACCCTCTCCAGGTCACCATCCTTTCACACCTGGACTGCTACTACAGCCTCCAACATTATCTCTTTCAGTCTTGTCCCTTTACAAACCATTTTCTACTTAGTAGTCAGAGTGGTCTTCTTAAACTATAAATCAAACATGTCACTCCTCCACTGAATACCTTTCGATGGCTTCTCTTCTCAAGTAAGATTGTTGAATGATCTGGCCCACCTATCTCTCCAAACCCAACTTGTGCTACACATTCTTTTTGGTACCCTGAACATGCAAGCTCTTCTCACATCAGGGAGTCTGCATAGCTGTTCCCTTTGCCTGCTGTTCTTCTCTTGCTCTTGATACAACTGGTTCTTTCTCACCCGTCGATTCTTAGCTTTAATGTTACTTCCTTCCTAGCATAAGCATTCCCTGACTACCTATATAAAGTAGGTCCCCTCCATACCATTCTCTCAGCACTCTGTTCATTCCCTTTATAGTACTTTGCAATTTAATATAGTTTTTAAAATTATTTTACTTGATTTTTTTGTGGGAAGAGGGTTGGTCTCTCCCACTAGACTAGATGTTCCAGGAGGGCAGGGAGTAAGTCTGATTTACTGTCTACCCAGTGCCTGGCACAAGGCTTTGCACACAGGTAGGTGCTCAATAATGTTTAATAAACAACTTCCTTCAAACACCTGTTCACATCATTCATTTCCATTTCCTTGGTTCTGCGATACAAAATTTATACTGCTTATTAGAGGTTGTCCTGGCTATGCTGAACTAGGGCAAGTTCTCCTTACCACATAGATTTAGGCTTCAGCAATCAGAGTCTCTGGAGTTAGTGTTTGTGATTTTCAGGAAGCAGAAGGTGGGTCCAAGCAGGCCTCTGGCTTCTTGTCATTGCTCCTTAATCAAAAAGTAAACTAACTTGCAGGCAGTTTACAAAATGAAATGCCTAAATAGCAGCACATTGTCTGAAGAATGACTCTAAAGGTCAAGAATCTGAAATGGACATTTCAAACCTGTCTGATTTAGTCAGCATTCTTCTCCCCTGAATAGGGTCTTTGGTTCTCTTGAGATAGTGTCAAGATGGTCAGTATTACTCTCTAATACCCTGCATTTAACTGCTACTAATAACAGCTTGCATCCCCTTTAAAAAGATATTGTTACGTAGACTCCTTCTGATTTCAAGTATAGTTAATTTTGCAATTCTTCATTTTCCCCTTACTTGTGTAAAATCTATGTGTTCCTAGCATGTATCTTTGATCCTGGACCTGGGAAGGGCATTTGTGTCTCTGGCACCAAGATACTAGATCAGATGGGATCTTTTCAACTGCTGACTGGCTGAAACTATCTAACAGAGCATTAACCATCATCAGAAACTGGCTGTTTCTCCCTCCCTTGGTGACCAACCCATAGCTTATTTTGGGGTGTGGGTTATTATGGCAATGGGAGGGGGACAGACTGGAAAGGATTTAGGATAACGTTGCAATGAGGAAAGGGGTTGTAGCTATACAGATTTTTATGACAAAAATCTCAAACTTGGTTTACATCATATTTTCTACTCCGAGTGCAGGCTGATAACACAAGGGCAATCAGGTCTCCCAAGACTGCACAACTCAGACTACCTTCTACTGCTTTTCCTAAGTTACCTTGGTGACCCCAAGGAGGACCACAACTTCTGAGGACAACAAGATCCTGGAGTTGGCAATATTAATTTCAGTGTCACCTACATAAAATAAGGATTTGGGTGAGGCAGACTTATGAAAAGCAATATTAATAAATACTTGTGTATTTATAGGGAATATCTCCAGAAGATTACACAACTAGTAACAGTAATTGGGGAAGAGTGAAAAGGAAACTTACTTTTCCTTGAACATCTTTTGAACTATTTCAATTTTTTGTTTATCATATCCATGTTATATCTAGTAAAAAATAAATAAGTTTTAAAATATAAGAAAAAAAAATGCAGTGTTGGCTCTCAAAGGGAAACTTAGCTGAAGTCAAGATTAACACATATGAGACTAACAGAAAAATATAAGACAGCACATAATTAAATACCAACTTGGGTGGTACTGATTACAAAAAGGATAGAAAAATAAGTCTGTTTAGTTGAAGGAGTTGGGTAACCAGGGAAACCTGAGCAAATAAAAATGGGTAGAGGCAGGAATGTGCATAATTAAATAAAGAACAGCGGACTCTGGAGTCAGATAGCCTGGTTCCAATTTCAACTCCATCACTTATTAGCTGTGTAATTTTGAATGAGTTTTTTAACCACCTCTTTTAACCTGATTCCTCATTTGTAAAATGGAGATGAGTACTTACCTTAATTGAATTAAGAAAATTAAATAATGTATGTAAAGCACCTGACACATAGTAGGTGCTCAACTAAATAGAGGCTGGTATAAACATGGTTGAACAGGGGGACCGGTCTTGTTAGGTACTGGGTATCCGTTCAGGAGAAAGGGCAAGATATTACTGGCTATTAGGATAAGAGTAAAATTGCGGAAGGTCACCTCATTTTCTCTCTGGGGTTCCTGTAGCATGAGAATTATAAACAAGTATCACCATTATGCACTCTCTAATGTTCAAGAAGATGAGAGGTCTGACAGTTAGAGGGTTTCTCTCTATCATGGCGGTTCCGGTGCTTAATTAAGACAGAATTCTGACTGAAGGCCTTCCCACACTCATTACATTTATAGGGTCTTTCTCCAGTATGAATTCTCTGATGTCGGATAAGGTGTGCCTTGCAAATGAAGCTTTTCCCACATTCAGTACATTCATGAGGCTTCTCCCCAGTGTGGACCCTGTGATGCTGAGCAAGGTCTGAGTTCCACATGAAGCCTTTCCCACAGACCTTACATTCATAAGGCTTCTCCCCAGTGTGGATTCTCTGATGTCGAAGAAGCGCAGGGTTCCGAGTAAAGCTTTTTCCACATTCTTTACATGTATATGGTTTCTCCCCAGTGTGGATACGCTGATGTTGTATAAGGCTTGTATTCTGACTAAAGCCCTTCCCACATTCCTTACATTCAAAGGGTTTCTCTCCAGTATGTACTCTCTTGTGCCTAATTAGGTTTGACTTCCAAACAAAGGCTTTAGCACATTCTTGACATTCATAGGGTTTTACCCTTGTGTGAATTCTCTGATGTGCAATGCAATGTGATCTAAAACGGAAAGCCTTCCCACATTCCTTACATCCATAGACTTTTTCTTTATTATGAGTTCTCTGGTGTTGATCAAAGTCTTCATTTTGATAAAAACACTTGCCACAATCTTCACATATACAGAATAGCTGCCCACTTAGAATTTTATGATGTATAGTAAAGTGGGTATTGAGGTCAGTACTGTCTGAACTCTCTTCTACTGAGATCATCTCATCTGTGACAATCACTTCTATAATATCATCTGTAGCACTCTCCATGCTTTCCCCATTGGCCCATCTCCCTAACCTGCTTTTCTCATCTTCATAGGTTTTTCCAAACCAGAATTCCTGGCAGTCATACCACTGGGATCTATGTGATAGCACCATACGGTCATATGCCTCCTGAAAAAATTCCTGCTTCGGAATAAAATCCTCTTTTTCACTCTTCGACACATCCTCTGAAAGAAGAAATCAAAGCTGAAAATGTTATCATTACCCACCAAGTGGTATTAATATGTCCATTTCTCTCCAAGTGCCACCCCTGTGTCTTGGCAGCCTTGTCCTAGCAGAAAATGGCAAAGCAAGGCTAACATACAGAAAGTAAGCAAAACACAGAAACTAGACAGACAGCCTATGAGGGCTGTGATTCCCAGCACCGATCAAGCACAAGGCAGGCTCTCAGGAAATAGTTACATCGAATCCAAGTGAGACAAGTCATAATTCCTTTTAAGTAACTCAGTTCAGTTTATGATATGAGAAGAACAGGCCAGAATTCAGGGCAGAGGACCTGTTCAGAGATAAAGAATCCTTTCTGGTACATCTGAGGAACTGAGCTTTGTCACAAAAGGGGCAACAGCAACAAGAAGGACCTTCCTCTCACTTGTCAACACTAATAAAAGGAAATGTAGTCTTGTCACTCAATCCGATCAACAGGCCCACCATGAAAAATGTTTCCCCACATTATTTCCGGGAGAGCTGGGCAAAGATTCCCTCCTCTTTGTTCCCATAGTGCCTATTCACACCTATGTTATAGCATCATCATTTTGCTGTAATTATGCATTTGTGTATCTGACTGTTCCATTAGACTGCGAACCCTTCCAGGATAAAGACCCTAACTAACTTATGTTTTGATCCCTGCAAACTAATACAATGAGTAAAATATAGCATTTAAAAATATCGGTTGACCACAATGGCCAGATGAGTAGGCCATGTATTCAGTTTGATCCTAGGACCCAAGACCCATCCTAATTTAATTAATTGACTTGACCTCATGAAAGCTGGAACATTAGGGTTTAAGTTTCTTCTTGATTAATTGATTTGGAGGTTTCTTGAGACTTCATTTAAAGCATGAACAGTAAAATGGATTTTTAACATTTTACAAAGGAAAGGCAGAGGAAAATGTGTGACAGGGAGAAAAGTGCCCGTTTCCCTCTCACTTACCAGTACAAATTAGACTTGGACCCTCTCCTTGCAGTTTCAGGTTCAGTGGCTCTTCCACCTGCTCAAGCTGGGAGATCCCAGCAGGCTTTAGAAATGGACATCCTGCCAGGGTCAAGATACAAATAAGGCCAGCTCAGTCAGAGGAATGGGGCCCATTAGGAAAAGAGCAGAGATGGAAGTGGCAATGAGAGAATAAAGGTGGGTGTTGGTAACACAGATGATCTGAATCTTGAGGGGGACAAATAATATGAAGGTTAGGAAGTTGCAATTCCATCAATTCCCAAAGAGATGAAAACATATAACCCATTTTAAAATGTCAAGAAAAAGAAATAGGAAAATTGAGAAAGAAACTTAAGCAAGTTTTCATGTCCCAGCACAACACCGTTAAGATCTAAGACTAGGGCTTCTTCTTCACTTGCCCTGTGAAGATGAAAGCTAGTTCATATAGTAAAAGAATCAGGATAGGATGGAATTGCAAAGAGCTATTCCTGGGAACTCTCTGTCTAGTCAGCCTATGTTGGAAAACTACAATCTTAGTTTCCTTCCTTCCTATCTATCTGTCTATTGCTTTCACATTCCACAAAGGATCTGAGGCAGTTCAATGATGGGTCTCTCTATGGCATCCATAAGAAATGGCCTCAAGTCTCATCAGCCATTTCTAGAAGTCTTACCTTACTCTACTGATGGACACCTCTGTTCACACAGGTCCACTCTAATAAACTCATTTTCAAACCAAGCTAAGATCTGTCCTTTGTCACTCCCATCTAAAGCCTCCTAAGATTCAGAGCAATTTTACATCCTCCAAATGACAACCTTTTATATCGCTAAAGCAAGAGGCTGTGTGTCCCCTGAGTATTCTCAGAGACAAAAGTGGGCTTTGTGTAGCAACAGATGTTCTCCAGGAAGGTTACTGCAGGTCAGGGAGTTGGGGTTTTGCTCAAGGAATAACTTAGCTGTTGGCTTTCTGCCTAAAGGAAAGATGGGAAATTCCCACAGGTGGTGGGAGGAGTAAGCACTAATATCCTGACAGAGTGTAGAGGACATTGTGGTTGTCTCCCTACAACCATTCTAATCCTCCCCCAGTGTGTAGTAGCCCCAGATCCTAGGCTAGGCCCTGACTAGTAGAAGCCAATCAGGCTAAGCCCACCCCACTTGCTACAATAATTGATTCAGGGATAGGCAATCCAAGTCAAGCCAAGCCAATCAGTGCATGGTATTTCCCTGGCCACAGTGATTTAGAGCTGGCATATGACTTAAGATGTTCCAGTCTGAGCAATACTTGGGACTTTGATTCCCAATGGGGAAGACCTGCCCTGTTTCTCCCCACAGGTATAAAGAAGGAAGCAAAAAGGTCTGGGTACAACTACCAACCATCTTACAACTGTGAGAGGAGCCAGACTGTAGACAAAGTTGACATACAAGGAGACACAGAAGAGACTTGAATTCTGATCAAACTGTACCCGCAGCCCATCTACCTATGTACTTCCAGCTACATGAAATAGTAAATTCCTCTTTATTGTTTAAGTCAGTTCGAGTTGGGTTTTCTGTTACTTACAATCAAAAGTACTCTAATATAGAAAGACTGTCAGACACAGCAAAGAACTGTGAGAATGGGGAAGTTGAGACCAAGCTTAAGACCCCCTGTGCCCACAGAAGAGCCTTGGCAAGAAGAAGGAATGGGGCCAGGGAGGCAGTAGGGGGACACAAGTCTCACAAGGAAACTAGGAGCAGAAAAGCCTAAAGGAATCCCAGGGCTTTCTCCAGGAATCCCTGGGGAATAGGAACTATTTGGCTGAGAGTTACCAAGACTGCTCAACTTCTAATGATAAAGATTATCTGCCAAGCACAGAGTCAGAATCTTCTGCTGGAAGACTATAAGTAGGCTGGGGAAGTAGGAAGGCCACTTCAGATCAGAGAGTAAACAGGAAAGTAACGGAGTAAAGATAAATGGTGGCCATCATAAGAACAACAGAGGGGGAGGAGGCAAAACAGGTGAATGAAGATGGCACACCAGAGCCAGGAGGGAGCAGAATGAATAATACAAGGACTCAAAATGGAAAACCATGAGAACACAGAGAAAAATGGGAATTCCACTGGTGTCTACAGTACTGGGTTAATAGAACACATACCTATTACATTTTAAAGAACAAGATAAGGGAACTGGTCAGATGACTGACATGTGTGTTCTCACTCACCTGAGGAGATGCCCCTCGGGCCCTTTCCATCCAGAGCTCCTTGAGGAGCCAAGCACCAGGGTATTTCTCCTTGTTCCAGCTGGGAAATCAAAGCCGGTTTAGGAAATGGAAATGCTGCTTGAGAGAAAGGAAATGGGACGAGCAGGTGAATGGAGTCACACAGAATAATCCCAGGGCTCCTCCCAGGCCTTGTCTTCTGGGGCAGGAGGAAGAAGGTAATAACTAGGGACAGCAAGGACGGATAAGGGACAGGAGACCCAGGGGAGAGGGCCAAGAGGCTTACAAAGGTCAGGAAGTTGACAGAATAAGTAAGAGGAGCTCAGTAACAGTTTGGGTGAGCAAATGGATGATTTCACTCATTGAGGAATTGAGCTTTCTTGTCCTCTCTCTCTCTTAAGAGTGCTCAAGTTCAGACATATGTATGAGGATGTTCAGTATTGGGCCAGGAACTTCCCTATAGAACTGTGGGGTGGGGAACTGAGACCTCAGTGGAGTCCCAGGAATCTTCTCTCTTCCCACTGTACCCACAAAAAAGGGGGTCGGGTAGGCATCTTAAGGAAGTCCTTTCTGAGGCCCAAATTGATACCAGGACTTCCCAGTTCTCAGCAACCTCAGTTGGGCCATTAAGAATCCAAGAGCCTGAAGCTACCGCTCAGTTCAGGATTATCAATGACTCTTGCGCCTCTGAGGTAGAAGAAGCTAGGAAACTCTGAAGGGCAGAGGCAGAGGCCAAAGGGAGATACCCTTACCCAGGGAAGCCACAGCCCCATAATTTTCCAGCATCACATCCCTGTACAGAGCCCTCTGGGCAGGGGCCAGGCTGGTCCATTCGTTCTCAGAGAAGTAAACAGCTACATCCTCGAAGGTCAGTGACTCCTGAAACAACAAGTATATAAATGCCCTAGGATAACCCCAGGACCCAGGCAGATAGGGCACTAAGAGGGGAAGCCTGCTGGGTTCCTGGCTTCTGAGAATCTCAGGGTACTCTTAAGCAGATTTCATCCCCTACTTACAGAGAAGATATAAAAGATCAGTCATCAGTTTCCTCATGTCTCTTCATCTTTATTTCAGCAAACATCCTCTCATCTTTTTCATGAGTCTCTGCAAAAGTTCTCCCTTTTCATCTCTATACTCAAAACAATCACTTGTGTTCTAGATCCCATGCCTTCTCCACAGTATGTTCTCCTCCAGAGGTCACCAATCCTTGACAACAAGAACAACTATTGTTTATTGAGCCTGTGCCAAGCACTTTACATATATTATGTTTTTTATGCCTCACAGCCTAGGAAGAAGGCATTAGAGTCATTTTACAGAAGAGGAAACTGAAGCTCTGATGAACTTGCCCAAAGACACAGAACTGAGACAGAACCCAGGCCTGTGTGACTTTCTGGCTCTTACCTACTATGTCATACTCCCTTCTATCCTCACTCCTGCCACCCCTACTTCCCCTATGTAAAACCCTTCCTCTTCTCTCCCTCTCAGTCATTGCCACCAGCCAAAGAGGCAGCTAAGGGGTCCTGGGAACACTCAGGTTGCCCCAGATACTACACTCAACAGGATAGATGTTAACTCTGAATCTATTGCACACTCCATCTCAATGCACCCCCTAAAACATACCACCCCACTCTTTCTTCCCCATGTCCCAGTCTCAATGTCCCCTTTTTCTATACTTCTTCGGAAGCCGGAGCTGCTGCACTTTTTCTTTCTTTCCTTCCTCTTTCTCATGCTCTTCCTTAAAAAACACTGTGTTAACCTACAACTATTAAGACTTCCTATAATTTTCTATATTATAGGAAATCCTATAATTCAGGCTTTCTGTCTCCATACTAAGTAGCTGCCGATTCTGGTCCATTACACTTCAAGCCTAGCCCTACAAAGTCCTCACAGCGATTTATCCAGCACTCCAGAGCTCAAAGGCTCGGGCTGGCTCACCTCTGCCTACCTAATAAAGTCCAAATTCCTCTGCACCACAGACAATTCCATTTATTATCCGGCGACCCAGCTTACCTGCCCAGGATCCTAGCTTGGCACTACCACCCCCATCCCCTATCCTCTCAACATCCTGTTAAGATGCCAAACCCTCTCCTCACCCAGATCTGTGCCCTTGAACCTGTAGCTCCCTCTGCCTGAAGATCGAGTTCCTTCTTTCTGCACCTGAACTCCTGTTCATCTCGAGACTCACCTCAAATATAACCTGTTTTGTAAAAAACTAGGCTCATTAAAATTCCAGGCATTCGCCGCTACGCACTGCGCTGTTAACACCTCTGCCCTTAGCATGTCTGCTTCCCCTGCCGGCTCAAGTCTGGGGCTGTCAAATTCACTTTGCACCCGGCCTACCTCTCCGGGCCCTCCAGTCTAGCCTGTAGCCCCATTTCCCAGTCGCCACACCACCCCCTCTCTGCCCCTTATGTGGGCCTAGAGCCCGGGGCAGGGCCGAGTCCGCTTCCAGGCGCCAGCCCCGCACTCACCGGGTGCGCACGGGACGGAGCGGGACGTCCGGGCGGCCGCTCGAGGGCAGGGCCGAGGCGGGCCCCGCACGCCAGGGCCGCGGCCGCCATGGCCCCCGCCGCCCTCCGGGGAAGAAAGCGCGCGCCGGCCCGACCGGGGGCTGACAGTGGTCGAGGCGGGGGGCCGGGACCGGGTCGACCTGGCACAGCGCCCCCGCGCCGAAGCCAGACCCAGGATCCGCGACCCGCGAGCCCCCAACGCTCTGTTCCCCACAGGCCTCGGTGTCCGGGAGACCGAGGATGCGGCCCTCGTGCTGCTCCAGCTTCTCTAGGACAGCGAGAGAGTCGTCTCTGTGGTCCTCCTTCCCCTCCCCGCAGAGCAAGAAGGAGCGGAACGTAGTCTAGATCTCGCCACTCTGGCCTCACTAGAGGGGTGCAGGCTTGCAGACCACACTGGGTGGCACTGCAGAAGGGGTGACACCAAAATGACATAAAATTTTTGTGCAGTGTTTTAGGAGAAATTTATTATTTTTAATAAAAATATCCCTGTAGTTAGCTATAACAACAAAAATATTTTTGGTAGGCCCATCTTGCATGTATCAATATACCTACAAGGCTAAAACTCTATGCTAATTTACTTTTTGAATCTGCTAATGCACTCAGGTCAGAGCTGTTGTTATTATCCAATTACAGTGATGCTTGGAACCACCTTGGTTTCCTCTGCATGCGCTACAAGCAGGCACTACCGGCACACGCTGTTGTTTTCACTGCTGCCTGTGTCTTTATAGTTGCTGATTTTGTCAAATTTTCTGGTGTTTTAGTTACAATATTGTGGCAATTAGTACTTGTGAATCTATATCAATAACTTCTGAGAATGAAGTAATAAAGGAAAAGAAGGACTGATATATGGGAACTATGATTTATGAGTAACATTAGTACAAAAAAAAAACAATACTAAGGATTCTGTATGGTCTGGTACGGCAGGCGGTCCATGGGGGGGGGAACTCCATGAGTTACCACACTTGGTGACACCAACCCTAGTGACGTCATTGTCTCAACAAGACACTGACCTCCCCAGGGGCATCCTAACTGATTCTCGGGGAGCAGGCAGCTGGAGAGAGGGGTTCTTATGGAAATCCTTTCCCGGCCGTCCTCCTCCCAGTAACCACCACTTCATTTGCACACCGCTGCACTGTAGTATGGATGAATGCTGATACACAGCAACCCATACTTCACTTACACATAACTGTGCTCATGAGGAACTTGTACATTGACCAAGAGGTAGTCGTTCAAACACAGCAAGGGATACTGCGTGGTTTCAAGTCAGGAAAGGTGTGCATCAGGGTTCTATCCTTTCACCATACTTATTCAATCTGTATGCTGAGCAAATAATCCAAGAAGCTGGACTATATGAAGAAGAACGCTGCATCAGGATCAGAGGAAGACTCATTAACAACCTGTGTTATGCAGATGACACAGCTTTGCTTGCTGAAAGTGAAGAGGACTTGAAGCACTTACTGATGAAGATCAAAGACTACAGGCTTCAGTATGGATTACACCTCAATATAAAGAAAACAAAAATCCTCACAATTGGATCAGTAAGGAACATCAGGATAAATGGAGAAAAGACTGAAGTTGTCAACGATTTCATTTTACTCGGATCCACAATCAATGCTCATGGAAGCAGAGTCAAGAAATCATAGGATGCACTGCAGTGGGCAAATCTGCTGCAAAACTGTTAAAAAGCAAGAGATGTCACTTTAAGGACTAAGGTGCACCTGACCCAAGTGATGGTGTTTTCAATCACCTCATATGCATGCGAAAGCTGAACAATGAATAAAGACCGAAAAATTGATGCCTTTGAATTATGGTGTTGGTGAAGAATATTGAATATACCATGGACTGCCCTGGTGGTGAAGCAGAACCTTGGTGGTGAAGTGGTTATAAAGCTCAGGCTGCTAACCAAAGCGTCGGCAGTTTGAATCCACCAACTGCTCCTTGGAAACCCTATGGGGCAATGCTACTCTGTCCTATAGTGTCGCTATGAGTTGGAATTGACTTGCCAGCACCCAATAACAACAACATAGACTGCCAGAAGAACAAACAAATCTGTTTTAGAAGTACAGCCAGAATGCTCCTTAGAAGCAAGGATGGCGAGACTTATCTTACATACTTTGGACATGTTATCAGGAGGGACCAGTCCCTGGAGAAGGACATCATCCTTGGTAAAGGAGAGGATCATCGGAAAAGAGGAGGACCTTAAACGAGATGGATTGACACAGTGGCTGCAACAATGGGCTCAAGCATAACAACGATTATGAGGATGGTGCAGGGGTGGGCAGTGTTTCATCGTGTTGTACACAGGGTCGCTATGAGTCAGAACCGACTCAACGGCACCTAACAACATACTTCACTTGACTGCACCTGTTGTGTATCTGCCTCCCTTTACTAGGTTTTACATTCCCAGAGGGCAGATTATATATCCTTGACTTACTCATTTTTATGCCTCTAATATGCACCCAATGTCTGTCATCTCATGGGGTCCAATTTCTTTAAGTGCCAAGGAATATCTGTTGAGTAAAAGAATGAATAAATGTTGAACCTTTAGTTTTTCAGTTGAAGTAAGGCCCAAAGAGAGGAAATGGCTTGCCTAACATCACAAAGCAAGTCAGGAAGTTAACCTTTTAAGCAGGGTGAACAAGACCCAGCTGCTTGCATGCCTTATAGCTCTTCAGGTCCTGCGAGCTTACAGATACCATACCTGTGAAAAAACCACAGAGCAAAGGAGGCCTCAGATAGGCTGCCAGGTTTGTTTTTAAAAGGATACTGGAGAAGCTCGTGAATGGACACTAGCTGTGAGTGCTGAGAAGGAAGCAGTGACTCTTACCATGGTGAAGGTCACTAGGTAGGTTGAGCATACAACAAATGTTCCCATAAGTTTCTTGGGAAAAGAAGATGGAAAAAACTGGACTGGGTGACAAAACAATTATGAGGTTTTGGATAACTGAACAATGAGCCCCGAAGATGCCTGTGAAGAGGAAACCGGCTTTGTGAGGCCAAACATGAGCGCCCTCATAGATTCTGCTAGTTCATTACCGTTTGCTAAGCCATCCTTATGTAAGTCCCTGGCATGTAGTCACTACTGTCCACCACTGCTATAAAACCTCTGCCCTCCCACTGCAAGATGTAGAAATCTGCTTGGTCCTGCAGCCGCCCAGGACTCGCTTCGTATGTAAGTCTCCCTAATAAACTCCTCTGCTGCCACCCTGGAGTTGCCCGCCTCTTTCTTTGGTCTCTTGGCACCCTCCATTTTTGGAGGAAAGTTTCACGTTATAAGTCCATGCCAGGACAGCCTGATTACTAGATAATGGTCCACCAGAAGGAAGGTCTCTTATGGTTCTGATCAGTGTTTTGGTTCAAAACTTATAGAAAACTAATGAGGAGATGGATAGATAATCTACTATACCTGTATTTTTCCTCTTTCCGTTGTCCTTTCTGTCAAGCACACAGCAGAAGGCAAAGCTAAGGCCAAGGCCTGACTGATTTGGCTGGTGAAGATACACTGAGCCACTTTTGGATTTACACAATTCATTACTTACACAGAAAGCAAAAGAATGGCCAAATGTACCAACTCCCTGGATCCTTGTCCCACACTCCAAAAAGAATGAAGATAAAACAAAAGGGGCTGGATAACTGCAATGTCAGTTGTGGGACTCCCCACTGCTGCGGAGCCAGTTCTAAACTGTAGCTAAGTGGTGGTGTACTCTGTAGCTATATCCTGATAGCCTACCCTGGGAGATAGAGAGGGGAGAGGGAGATGGCCTTGTAAAGCTCCTCCCTTCCTCTCATGTTCTGGAAGGATTACAAGGTTATCTGCCAAAACTCAGATAATCTGTGGCTCAAGATTTTGCCTACATGGCTTATGTAGATACGTGCAAGATTGCCAGGGCACTATGGTGGAGCTATTCCCCCACAACTCCATCTTCCACTCACTGGCCTTTCACACATCCAGCTAAAAATTCACAGGAGCATTGGCCACCATATAGGCCACTGAATACTCTTAATTAATTGTACTGATAGAGGCTTGGACAAATTCATTCCATTTGTCTTAGGCAACACTGTACAAGAGTGACCATGACTATGATTCCCAGTAGGGTGTTCAGGCCTTCATGGAGAATAGACTGCAGCCAGGCTCCCCATCCAGGCCAAACCAGCTAAATATGTCATTAATCCAGGTGTAGCAAGAAGCGTTGGCAATAGCACATAACCACATGAACTAGCCAACAGGAAATTCTGGGCAATGATTGTCCATTACTCTGTTGACAGTTTAGAGCAATCAGTAGTAGTCTGTGAAAAATGAACAAGAGCCCAACAATAACAGGATGTAGCTAAAGGGAATCATATCAGAGTCCAGACAGTTAATCTTGTTCTTTTAGAGTGGAGGCTATTCCTTTCTGGAGTCAGTGGCTGTTGGAAAGTCTCTGAGAGTTTTACAATTGTTTGTTGGCCAATGTTAAAGTCGAAGGTAGTGATAGAAGTCTGGGTTGAATTGGCCAGCCACTCTGCAGACAATAGCTGAGAATGAGTAACGGTCCCTTTCTCCATCCTTCACTTCCCAGTATCTAAGACGTTCTTTCTTTACCAACCCAGATTGTTCCTCTCCTTCCACAACCACATGATCATTACAATAATCTCTGTAATAATCACTTCACCTTTTTTCCAATCCTCCCCGTCTTACCCACACCATATGCCCAGATTCATCCCTAATTAGCTCAGGAGTTTCTTTCTTACTTGTATCACCTTATTTTCTAGCTTGTACCATCCTGGCACATCTCCTACCCTCTGACATGTGGTCCATGCCAACACTACCTTAGGAGTTGTCACTTCATATTGATGATCATTATCATCATCTATAATTGCCAAACCCCAAAAGCATAGGTGAGTAGCAAAAACAAAACACCAGGTTTCAGTCTCCTCCCCCTGGCTCTTCTTTCTTACTCACAAATTTCAGTAGCCCAGTTTTCCAGGTATAAGGTGTGGGAGGAAAAAAAGAGAAGGTTTAACTATGTGGGTTGAGCCTCTTACATCCAGTCTGGGTTTTCTCTCACTCCCAAGCCTCAACATTTAAGTGGGAGG